TGCAGGTGATGCTCATGCTGTGCAGGTATGAGAGTCTGTGCTCTGGGCTGATGGGCAGCAGCGCTCGCAGGTTCCGTATCTCACTGTTCATCTGATCACGCCGCGCCTTAGATGCTCCTTTGGTGGACCTGGAAACACACACACACACACACACAGAAACAGACACAGAATTGATCATCTCATACTCAATCAGCTCTGCAAAACACAAGACAATAAATCACAGCAAAACTTGCAGATCACCAGCAGAACAGAGGAGAGCATCCACAACGCATCCACAACACATTCATAACACATTCATAACGCATCCATAACACATCCATAAACACCTCCTGAAGGACTGGCGTCAGCTAACACACTCCTCACCGCCTCCACATCACTGCGGTCCAGCATATCGAAGAAAGAGTCGCTCTGGAGAACGTCCACCTGCAGACAACACACACACACCTTCAATTAAACACACTGTCAGCTAAACAAACACACACACACACCATCAGATAAAGACACACCATCAGCTCAACACTCACTCACTCACACACACACATGCCAGCTAATCACACGCACACACATTCAGATCTGCACAGCTGTGAAGATGTAGAGCAGCAGACTCAGAGCAGTGTGTGTGTGTGTGTGTGTGTGTGTGCGCGTGCATGCGTGTGTGTTCTGCATATGATCATCACTCACCATGGACAGACCCAGATACTCGTGTACGTTCTCAGACACATACAGCAGTTTTCCATCTGTGGTAAAGGCAACGATAAACCCCGGCAGAGCCTGCAGAACACACTCCTGCAGAACACACTCCTGCAGAACACACTCCTGCAGAGCACAGTCCTGTAGAGCACAGTCCTGTAGAGCACAGTCCTGCGGGACACATCCATTCACGGCAGAAAAACCGTTGGATTCCTCACACACACCTGGAACACACAGTGGAGGATTCAGAAGATGGAAAACTGCAGATACTATACTGTGTGTGTGTGTGTATGTGTGTATGTGTGTGTGTGTGTGTGTGTGTGTTTGTGTGTATGTGTGTGTGTGTGTGTGTGTGTGTGTGTACCTCTCAGCTCCACACTCTTCCTGATGTAGGTGCAGGTGATGCTCATGCTGTGCAGGTATGAGAGTCTGTGCTCTGGGCTGATGGGCAGCAGCGCTCGCAGGTTCCGTATCTCACTGTTCATCTGATCACGCCGCGCCTTAGATGCTCCTTTGGTGGACCTGGAAACACACACACACACACACACAGAAACAGACACAGAATTGATCATCTCATACTCAATCAGCTCTGCAAAACACAAGACAATAAATCACAGCAAAACTTGCAGATCACCAGCAGAACAGAGGAGAGCATCCACAACGCATCCACAACACATTCATAACACATTCATAACGCATCCATAACACATCCATAACACATTCATAACACATCCACAACGCATCCATAACACATTCATAACACATTCATAACGCATCCATAACACATCCATAACACATTCATAACACATCCATAACGCATTCATAACACATTCATAACACATCCATAACACATCCATAACACATTCATAACGCATCCATAACACATCCATAACACATTCATAACACATCCATAACACATTCATAACACATTCATAACGCATCCATAACACATCCATAACACATTCATAACACATCCATAACACATTCATAACACATTCATAACACATCCATAACACATTCATAACACATCCTTAACTCATCCATAACTCATCCATAACTCATCCACAACGCATCCATAACACATCCATAACACATCCATAACACATTCATAACACATTCAAAGCACATTCATAACACATCCATAACTCATCCATAACTCATCCACAACGCATCCATAACACATTCATAACACATTCATAACACATCCATAACTCATCCATAACACATCCATAACACATTCATAACACATTCATAACACATCCATAACACATCCATAACACATCCATAACACATTCATAACTCATCCACAACGCATCCATAACACATTCATAACACATCCATAACACATTCATAACACATTCATAACACATCCATAACACATCCATAACACATCCATAACGCATCCATAACACATCCATAACACATTCATAACACATCCATAACGCATTCATAACACATCCATAACACATTCATAACACATCCATAACACATTCATAACTCATCCACAACGCATCCATAACACATTCATAACACATCCATAACACATTCATAAAACATTCATAACACATCCATAACACATTCATAACACATCCATGACACATTCATAACACATCCATAACTCATCCACAACGCATTTATAACACATTCATAACACATCCATAACACATTCATAACACATTCATAACACATCCATAACACATTCATAACACATTCATAACACATCCATAACTCATCCACAACGCATTTATAACACATTCATAACACATCCATAACTCATTCATAATGCATTCATAACTCATCCATAACACATCCACAACGCATTCATTACACATTCATAACACATCTATAACTCATCCATAACGCATTCATAACACATCCATAACACATCAATGAAGGGAAGTAAGTATAGTCAAATATGGTTGCCCACACTCATAATTGTTCCTCTGTTTCGCTAATGCAAGTGCACACACACACACACACACACACACACACACACACACATCAATAATATACCAAACTTAGACCAATAATACATCTCTAATAATCAGTGATATAATCATTAATATACACACAGAGACACACAAACAACACACACACACACGCACACGCGCACACACACACACACACACACACGTGCGCGTGTTGAGTTGGTCGTGTGAATGGGGATAGCTGCTGCTGGGCTTCTGTGGTGTGCTCTGGGTTCTCCTCTGACCTGAGCCTGCCCGAAGAAACTTTCAGTATTTTTATATTTGCACTAATTCTCCCTGTCTGTCAGTGTCACACATCAGGCTGTTCTCGGAGGGGTTTTGCTCACTTTTGGATGCAAATCTGTCCTCCCGAACCTGCGTCAATAAACGCGTACAGAACGCGCGCGGTAATGTGACGCCCGCCCCGCACTGACCTGAAGCGCTTGGACGCGCGGAGGATCCTCCTGATGCCCGAGTCTCCGCAGCTCATCCTCACACATACACACACTCCTTAGACACGGAGGATGAGGAGAACACACTCGACGCTGCTGATGAACACACTCCTCACGCATCAGCCGGGCGCAGCGGGTCAGGGTCGGCTATCGGCGGTCAGTCAGCGGCGCTGGAGCTCTTATCTCTGCGGTGTGTGTGTGTTTGTGTGTCTGGGAGAGAGAGTGTGTGAATGAGTGTGTGTGATGACCCGTGTCTTTTATAGTCTCAGGGAAGCTCAACCTCAGACCTGAAGGAGAAAAAAAACAGTCCGTGACGACACGAGGAGGAGACACAGCAGATATTTATAGTGTGTGTGTGTGTGTGTGTGTAAAAATAACTCCAGTGACATCATCACAACACACATTATCAGCAGTGCACTGAGCAGCGGTGTGTGTGCTCGCAGTAGCCGGCTCTCCTGAATGGGGACCGGTCCGGGCTGTGTCAGTATTAGTCGCTCCTCGGCAGAGCATGAGTGCAGTGTGGAGGGAGATCATCTGCGCTCGGCCTGTGTGTCCTCACCGAGCATCACAGCGCTCCTCCACAACTGTTGCACAGCATAACTGTACAGCTACAGGCCAAACATCACACTCTTCCCACGCCAACACGGGGAGAACATGCAAACTCCACACAGAAACACCAACTGTCCCAGCCGAGCAGGGCCGGAGTGGGACACCTTTTCAGCTCTGGAGTTTCAAGCCTCAGACCGGCCCACCTCAGTTCACGACTGACTATATTAAAATATAAATAAATAAATATTTCCAAATCAGTTTCTAATTTTTTTTTTTTTTTTTTTGAGAAAACAGCTGCTTTAGAACTTCAAATGTTCAACAATCCTAACAGTATTATATGTCTTATCAATAAAAATGAAAACACTAAATTACTCTAAAGAGGATCGAACCCGGGTCCGCGGCGTCTTAACCTAACGTGCTATCGGCTCGACCACAACAACTGTTTTATGAATGATGACACAACTGAGTTTTATCATGATTGAAACAGATCAATAGAGAATAGAGAATAAAAAGGCTGTGGTCAAGTAAATAAATCAATTTAAAAAGTGTGATTGCTGAGAGCAACAGATTCTGGAGCTAGGGACACCGGCCCTCGCGGCCAAAAAACGGACCGGCCCACCGGGAATTCTCCCGGTCCTCCCGATTAGCCAATCCGGGCCTGCAGCCGAGACTCAAACCAGAGACCTTCTTGCTGTGGGGCGAGAGCACTGCGCCACCGTGTCAGTGACCCACAGTAATAATCTCTGAATATTAATGTAGTATTTGCTGTATATCATAAGCAGACTCATATGTAGCCCGGTGTGTCGGAATATCACAGGTTATGGACCCTCTGCTGTTATATTGCTCCACTATAGATATGATGTATTAACATTAATATACAGATGCTGTATATTCATACCAGAGACATCATCACAGTATGAGTAGAAGGATAATATGATAATAATAATGTGTGTAATTTAGTCTGTTTTTCCCCATGTCGTCATTTATTGATCTTGTTCTGTTAAATGCAATAGTTCCTCAGTGTCCTCAATAATGCAGTAAATCAGTTACTGACTGAGGTAATACCCCTATATTCATACACCAGTAATATTCATAATCATTGAGCAGTGTTGGGGAGACTACAGGACACTACAGCAGATAATGCACTTACACAGAGTCTGTCTGTCCTCATATCACTCCTCACTACAGTCAGCGTGTGTTGTTGTTGTGTTGTGTTGTGTTGTGTTGTGTTATTGTTGTGTTTCTGTTTCTTACCTTTGCTGAGGCCTGATCTCCTCCAGAGCGAGCGGGTTTCTTTAACACAGGAGCTCTGCAATGAACACTGAACATCCTTCATTAAACACACATCAGTGCTGATTCTGCAGGACACGGCGATCCTCTGAGCCGGCTCTACATGCTGTAAACACAATGACTGAGTGTGTGTGTGTGTGTGTGTGCTGTTGGTCTCAGCTCAGTAATCATGGTTCACGCGCAGTTTTACTATTAAAATTCCGGAACGTTTGCAGAAGTTTTGATCAGATTTTCATGATGTAATGTTTGATGGGATGTCTACATATACATGATAAATAATAAGAGAAGCAGATGTTCACATTTCAGTCACGTTAGAGCTGCACAATATTCAGTTGATGGATACGGCAGTGTGTGCATCGGTCACAGCGCAGGATATGCAGAGCGGAGTTCAGTATCGAGTTCAGTCATGATGGAGTAACGGTTGATCATCATTTCTAAAGGGACAGTTCACTTCACCCAAACCTTACTCACCATTTCCACTACAGCCTTCACCGGTCTCTAATTATCCTTGTTTTTAATTGAACACTAACGATTATGACTGAGTGACTCCTGTGTGCTGAAGAGTGAGTATAGAGTGAGCACATTTACTCTCAGTGCACGGTCTCTTTAAGGTCTGTGACGGTGAGAATATTTCAGTTTAATACCCAGACTCAGGAAAACTTTAAACAAGATGAAATAATGCAGGAAGAAGAGTGTGCAGTGCTGATTCAGGATCTGCAGCTGGGCAGTGAACAGCATCACTCACTGTCATCTTGACTATACTGAGAGGAGACTCACTCCTCTACACAATCCCTCAATCAATCCTGATAAAGCTAAAGCCTAGTGATGTGCTGACACTGTACACAGCGCTCTCTACATCACAGCTACACTGAAGACTGTAGTGTCAGACGTGTCCAATATCACACAGCCCTTATTCAGCTATAGAGATCTCTGATCAACTGATGTCCAGCACTTCTCCAACGCTGTGTGGGTTTTCCTGTTTTTCCTGAACTTTTCCAGGCCTGAATAATCCCGGACTGGTCCAGGCTTTGCATGAGCGTCTGAACCCTGAGTAAATGGCTGAGACTGTCTCCTGCTGCTCCTCGTGTGTTCAGACTGATCAGAGTAATGTAAGCCGGAGCTGTCCTGCTGTCCTGCTGTCTGCTCCTGCGTCCCTCATCAGTGCTGGATCAACACTCAGCTCTTCACTCATGACGGCTCTGTCATTAACCCAAACAAGAACAGCTAGGATGCCAAGGTCTCCATAATCCTGGACCAGGCCGTATCCTGAGCAGCTGCTGTGGTGGTCATGGAGAAGCAGAGAGCGTGAGACGGATTCCCCAGTGACAGACGAGTCCTCGCATTGATCCTGTGGGCCAGCCTGAACACCTGCCGGTGACCTACTCACACCTGCAGCTTCTCCACGATGGACGTCCAGCGTTCTCCAGCCTCCGGCGTCTAGACTGCAGCTCTGCACAGGCCAGAGGAGAAATGCTGAGCCCAACTGAGCCTGACTTCTCTCCAGGTTTCTCTCCTTCACTTTGGTCCATTGGTGAAGTTTGATCCTTCACTGTCGCCCTGGCCTGCTTGGTTTGGGTCTTGTGGAGCTGCGCATGGATGGATCTGCTCTTCAGTGTTTGGACTCTGAGCAGTGAACATTAAACCACACTGAACTGTGTTCATCTACTGACACACACACACACACACACACACACACACACACACACACACACACACACTCTAACTGGAGAAGAGCTGGAGGAGCACAGATAAACTCAATTGAATGGTAGGCACAGTGTGTGTGTGTGTGTGTGTGTGCATGCATGTGAGTGTGTGAGTGTGTGTGCATGCGAGTGTGTGTGTGTGTGTGTGTACCGCCTCAGTCAGTGTTCAGGTATTGAATATGAAAGCGTCTGAGGAGTTTCCGTCTGCAGATAACAGCAGCATAACAGCAGCGCTGACAGACAAGAACACACTGGTGGAGCACACACACACACACACACACACACACACACACTTCATCATCTTCATCTTCATTAATGGAGGAACATCAGCTTCTGGATCCTCGGGGACTCTTCTAGAGCAGATGACGGACCTGAAGAGCTGCACTCCAGAGAGAGTCAAAACAACCCGCGCTAATGTGTGTGTGAGAGTGTGTGTGAGTGTGTGTGAGTGTGTGTGTGTCTGCAGACCCTGTCTCTGGGGATGCAGCGAGCGGACAGCACATTAGCAGCGCTGGAGACACAAGGTTAAGGTCCAGCAGACAGGTGTGATCCATCCCTCAGCTGCAGCATTAACCTTCAGACCAGCACGCACACACACACACACACACACACGCACACACACACACACACACACACAGAGTGAGCTCTTGATCAGTTTTATTG